ATGAAAGGACAAGAAAGGCCAAAATTACATTTTAGCTTTTATTTTTATCTTTCAGAAAAATCACAAAAAAAAAAGTAAATAAAATAAAATAAAAACTATGTTATGTTGTACATTTTACCCTTTAGGTTAAACAAAAAAATTAATTCAAAAACTATTTTAAATAGTTTTTCAAATCTTTTAACTTTTAATTTTTTATTATAAAATTTTACTTCTTTTAAAGTTAACAAGTACATTTTTAAACATTGCCATATAAATAAAAATTACAGCTTCTGTCTTCCAACTTAACTACCAATTAGTTTTGTTAATAAACATAACAAATAACTAATAAGGTCTTACGAATAACCCTAAATAAAAGTTTAATAATATTTTGTTATAAATGTATTTACATGTCGTTATAAAGTTATCATTAAGCCTCAAATAGATGTATTAAGTTTAATATATATATATATATATATATATATATATATATATATATATATATATATATATATATATATATATATATATATATATATATTAAGGTTGGTGTGGGGCATAATGATAAATAAATAGTAAAAGTGCAAAACACAAACTTTGATGGCAGAGGGTGCATCAAGTACATATCTTCATGCTGCTTGTTTTATGGCAACTTAACTCATTTTGTTACTCTTTTCTATCTTTACAATCATTCCTCCCTCCACCATGTTCTTTCTTTTAACTTCCTATTACATTTTGCGTTTTTCATTTAATTTTCTGTTTTTTTTTTCAAAAATAATAAGAAAAAAACTTTCCACAAATGTGACTTGATCAAAGTGGAGAAAACTAAGGTTGCTGGTTTTTATAATGTTGATTTCTGTATGTGATTTAAGTTGTATAAAGTAAACTAAAATACTAATATTAATATAGATATTTGGTATTTTGACTTGTTTTGGTAGAAAAACGAACATCAAATAAGGGGATAATTCGTGAGGCTAATCAACCTTAGTTAATTATTCAGTGCATTCAAGTTATCTGAGATACTATCAACTCTTTATATAAGCAAAACTGAAGAATCAAATAGTTAATATTTTGTTTTCAAGTCTATCATGACATACTTTCTTATCATTGAAATTGATTCTAAAAAATTATATTATCATGCAAAATTGCACAAAAGTTTAATGTATAAAATAGAAACCTACTTTCACATGTTTCCTGTTAATAACAACATAATTCATATTTTTTCACATATATAACAATATACTTTGTGTGGTTTGTCGATTAAAGCTCGCGGTTGGTGAGTAAAGTGCTTCAATGGACGTCTCATATTGAAATAAAGGTGGCTACTTTGTGTGTATATGGTAGTGAGTTGTTATTTAGACAGAATTAGATAAGTGGTTTTGGCAAACAATATTAGTAAATCTTCATAAAAATAAGTTAACACTAATTATCCTTGTGTTTCAAAAACTTACACAAAGGTCTTTGGACTTGAGTGCATACCAAATGACCAACTTATACTTCTTTTTCTTTGAATTAAATTATTTACATTAAAAAAAAAGTAAAACAATATGGGCTCTCTCTCATGCTTCTATCCTCCATACATCATCACATCCCTTCTCACATTTTCATGGTTATTTGAATCCTAATCGTATTAGGATATTTTAGAGATTTTTTTTGAATTATTTAGTGTTTATCCTATTTTCTAGTTTACTATATAAATAATTGATGTAATCAGTTTTCTTTGAATCAACATACGAACTGTTTCCTGGTTTCTCTCTATCAAATTTCACATGGTATCAGAGCAGACCTAGAAACCCTAACCAAAAACATCTAAGCCATAACAGGACGTTCGTCATCAACGAAGACAACGATCGACATCAATTCTCCTTATTTTCTTACATCCAATGATCACCATCGCCAGAAATTTATTGGAGAGAACTTGCTCCATGATGGCAATTACAGTGATTGGCAGAACGAGATGACCAATGCATTGTTTGCCAAAAACAAGATTGGTTTCGTGGATATACCATTCCTATGCCAGTAGATGACTTTGCTGATTTAATGAATTGGAAGAGATGTAATGAAATGGTACGTGGATGGTTGGTAAGTTCAATGGAGAAAGAGATCAAGATTAGTGTCAAGTATGCCATTACAGCACGTAACATATGGCAGGACCTGGAAGAACGATTTGGAAAAGAGAATCCCCCATGGGCATATAAACTTAGGAGTGTGTGGGATGAGATTCAATTTATTACCCCCACACCATCTTGTACTTGTCAGGGTTGCAAGTGTAATATCACCAAGAAGTTCACAAAGATTCGAAAAAAAAGAAAGACTTTATGACTTTCTGATGGGACTAAACGATGAACATGCTGTTAAAACACAAATTTTGAGCTTCGATCCCTTACCATGCCTTGGTATTGCATATCATCTAGTCAGCCAAGATGAACAACAAAGAATCGTTGGTATGGCTAGATATCCTGGTGGGGAGGCTTCAGCTTTTCAAACCTCGAAAACAGCCCCTAAACCTCATGGAAAAGGCAACTCAACAACTCCAAACAAAAAAAGTAATGATGATCGCTGGTGCACAAACTGTCATAAATATGGCCACCCTGATGATGGTTGTTTTAAACTTATTGGTTACCTTGAGTGGTGAAATCCTAAACAAACGAAACCTCAAGGCAACAAACCGAAGGCTTCACCAAAGGTTGTTGTTGTCATGACCGAAAATGCCATTACTTCATGGATAACCAAAGATGAATATGAAGTTTTAATCAAGATGCTATGTGCAAATCAAGTTGGCGAAAACAGTAAAAGAGCTACTCCTACCGCCAAAATGACATATAAAGTTATTAAAACCTCAAACTCTTGGATTATAGATTCTAGTGCCAGTGATCATGTCACACATCGTAAGTACTTGTTCAAAAACATGAAAATTTTAGGTGATTGTACATCTGTGACTATTCCTAATGGTGAAGATATAAATGTCAAAAGGGTTGGTGATATACAATTGTCCAAAGACTTTGGCCTTAAGGATGTATTAAGTTTGCCAGAATTTAAATGCAACTTGATGTCAGTTAGCAAGATTACAAGGATTTGAATTGTGCCTTAACCTTTCTACCAGAAAAATTCTTTGTACAGGAGTTACCTTCGAAGAGCCTGATTGGGATGGGTAGAGAAAGTGACTGTCTATATTATCTGGAACCATCTAAGCAGAATGAAGTAACAATGGATATATGGACCAAAAGTGAATTTTGGCATAAAAGACTAGGACATGCGTCTGATGGAGTCCTTAAAAAGATACAACATTTAGAGAGTACAAACATGAGTAGTCATTTTTGTGATTCATGTATTCCTGCAAAACAAAGTAGATTATCCTTTCCCATTAGCTTTGCTAAAACATCTAGCTGTTTTGACTTAATTCACGTTGATATTTGAGGTCGCTATAAGCATGCTTCTTTACATGGTGCACATTACTTTTTATCTATCGTTGATGATTTTAGTCATGGTGTTTGGGTATATCATGAAAAACAAAACTGAAGCAACATACTTTTTGGTTATGTTTTACAATATGGTTTAAAGCCAATTTGGGAAACGGGTTAAACGGATCTGTACCGATAATGGGGGGGGGGGGGGGGGGGGGGGGTGGCAAAATGACTTAGTAGTTGGAAAATGACTTAATGAGGCTGAGAAACGACTTTCAAGCCAAAAACCAGCACTAAAATCAGTCTACTCCCTAGCGATCCATTTCCTGGTTCTTCATTTCAATGTTGATCGGTCCCGGTTCTTTCGGTTCCGGTCCAGTTCAGGCCGGTTCTGAAACCGTGCTCATGCATACATATAAACAGGGATATCATAGAGAGTGTAACATATCACATAGTCATCCGGAGAGAGTTAAAGAGCCAAAGCGGGAATGACTTTAAAGCTTCTGACTTTTTTTTGGATGATAGGAGTATTGAATTTGGCTGTACAGTTTTAATATTTAACGCCTAACTTTACCTTTTTTTCGTAGTTTTCTTTTTGACAATTATTAAAGAAAATTAAAGGTATGCAATTGGTCTAAGAGCCCAAAAAAAACCAAAATTATTAAAAACAGCGACTATCGAGCCCGCTACATTTTTTTTTATCACAATTCTTAACCATTAACAATCATGGATCCATTATATTTGGCCCAAATCCAATATCTGCTCCTCATTTAGTTCTTTTCGCTTACTTTGCATCTTAATTTATTATATCTATTAATAATCGTATATGAAATTAATGTCTGCTCCTCTTTTACTTCTGTTGACATATTTTAAATCTTAGTTTAGTTGGTTCTCTTTCTAAAAAAATAATATTAATCCAGAACTAGATTTCAGTCAAAATCAGTGCAATAAACTCAAATATCCAAACTATGAAATTCCAATCTAAATTGATTAGATAATCCAATTTGATCCAAACAGTGAACAATCTATTTAAATCGTATTTTATTATGCCTATTGATAATCATATATGAAATTAATAGTGTTTATTGATAATCATGTATGAAATCTAAAGATCTAATAGATTAAACATCCCATATGTAAATGGTCAATTCCAATATCTTAACACATAATTAATATTTCGACATTAGATTGCTAATCGTCATTGGTCCCGTAGCTCAGTTGGTTAGAGCGTTGGTCTTATGAGCCGAAGGTCGCGGGTTCGAGCCCCGCCGGGACCATAATTACTTATTGCGTAACATCAATTTATAAATTCGTTTGTCTTTTTTTTTTTGTTAAATTGTCACATAACAGCATTAACTTATACTTTTGAAAACTTTGATTACATTAATATTCCATCTTCCCTAATCAAAATAGCATTAGCATATACTTTTGAAAAAAACACATTCATTCTTATAGCAAGAGAGTTGCTACAACAAAACACGTAATCAAATCAGCAAACTGTTTTGTCCACTCCATTTTATTTTGATCAAACTATTTCTTTAAGTAAGTACATCAAAACATTTGTAAACATAAGATTTATTTCTAACTCTCTTTTTTTTTTTTTTTTTTTATTTATGTTTTGTCACACAACAACATCAAATATACTTTGAAAACTTTGTTTACATAAATATTCCATCTTCCCTAATCAAAACACGTTCATTGTTATAGCAAGAGAAATGCTACAAGTAATCAAATCAGCAAACTATTTTGTCCACTCCTTTTTATTTGATCATATCAGAGACATTTTCGCTTGGTTTTCTTCATTGTTGAACGGATGATCTTCTTCGTCTTCTTCTCCAACATCTATCATAACCCATGAATCACTTTTCACATCACCCAACAAAGGATTCGATTCCCCTACAATATGGTCCTCTTTTGGAGCCATATTTTCTTTAGAACTCAATTGACTTCCCAACTTTTCCACTATCATATTGCCACCAAATCCATCAGAAAGTGGTGAAATCTCAGGGGTTTTTTTGATGGGGTTTCTTGAATATGAATTCTCATCTTGGATCATGGGTGAGATTTGGTTTTCATCGAGATTTCCATGTTCAATGAATTGGGAATGAGACCTTTTGTATTTTTCCAAAGAAGATTGTTGAAGAACACCATGTCCTGAAGAAATCCTATGGTTAAAACTCCCAAATCCTTCAATTCCTCTACTTAATTTCCTTGCTTTTGCTCTCTCTTCTTTTAGCGAACTCAATTCATTCAGAAATTTCAAGGTTCTTTCTGATTTTAATCTTACATTAAGCCCCCAATTGAATCTGCATCATACAAAAGATATTAAAAATCAAATCTTTATAGTAAAACGAAAGGACCCGGTTCAGAAAGAAGCTAAATCAACGATAAAAATTAGATTTTTAGAAGAGGAGAAACAAAAAGTACCCTTTTTCATCGATATATTGAAAATTGGTCATCTCTTGAATAACATCTGTGTGAGTTTGAAATTCTTCTGCAACACTTTCTGGGCCATGTGTCAACAAGTGTTCTAATACCACCACAGCTTTATATGATATCCTCCAGTTGTTTGCATCAAATCTAATCAATCTGATGTTTGACTTAAAATAGTAAGAATTCAAGAACACAAAAGAATTAAAGAAGAATTGATAAAAACCTGTTGTGAAGAACGTTAACGATTCTCCAGTAATCATCGATTTCAAAAGCAGCTTTTGATATCATCTTCAAGGTACGTGCATCTGGCGCCCATGGATTCCCGTTTGTTGATTCTTCAACCAATCTTCAATAAATCAACAAAAGAGGTCAAAGATTTGTAACATAAAAAGAAATAATGAAATCGAAAAGCAGTGTAGATGGAAAGAGTACAGTTGAGCAGGGGTAACATCGGTCAAAGCTAATCGAGCAGTCTTGATTTTTTCCTTGAGGAAGAAAGAAGCTTGTTTTTTGAATTCATGGAAAGATGATGATGAGCCCAGATTTTCACTGTTGTTGATTTTTCCTAAAATTGACATTTCTCATGAGAGAATTATGAAATCTAGCAAGATAGTGAAGAGAAATTGGAGTTGGAGTGGGTCAAATCTTGGTATCTGGTGATATTCAAATTCAAAATGGCGTCACCAATAAATAAAATAATCCATTTGAGTCCAGAAAAGCGACACATTTTTCCTTTGACTTCTTCCAAATAGAAAATGCTGAATGTGTTACAGTTTCCCATTAAAAATTAAGGCAGGTACCATCAATTGTGTAACCTCCTTGTATCAATTTTTTTATCTATGTGAATGAAAAATATGTATAGTTATACTATGAAAAAGTTACTTTTTAAAATAATATAATATCATTTAATTGAAAAATAATTTATACATTTAATAGTAATTGATTGTAGTTATATCTTATTAAAAATGTATGTTTTTAATCAACAATTAAGCACTAACTAATATATCATGTTTTTATATTTTTAAATAAAGTTATACATTATACTTTATAATAACAACAACTCATAGAGTCGGTTCTAGATTTCACCATCTCGACATCTAGTGATATGTGGGTTTGGGATGGTGGTAATTGAGACTAGTTCTTGGTATCAGAAACTAAAAGACTTATTGATGACAACTCTTTTTTAATTGTATGACGCCACTACATAGAATAAGACAATAAGTATATACCTCGAAAGGTGAATATTTTTTACTGACGGTGTTGTTCGAAACGACTACCTACTCAGATCAACCTTGATGTGAAAGGTATGGATGTGTCTTTATTTCTGTGTGGAGTTTGCAACCCAAATACAAAAGATATTTCACATATGTTTATTAAGTATGAAGATGCTTCTCATTTGTTCATTTGTGGATTTTTATTGGTGCTGTGACATTCATATTCCTAGCTTCTTGAGGGTGGAAGAAGTGGTTCGGTGTGTGAATTCGAGTTAATCTTTCCTTGGTTAAAAAGGCGGCTCTTGAATGGATAATTATGACTATGTTGTTGCTTCTTTGGAATTTTAGGAATTTCATCCTCTTTAATGGTCAATACACTTTATGGAATTCGTTAATCGATGTGTTGATCGACCATTCAACAACTGGTTTGTAAACAAAAAAGAAATAAGTTAAGTCTTAGCAGAGGACATGCTAATAAAACCTTATTTTATTGATTCGTATGTAATTCTCTGTTAGCTCTTTGCTAACTTTTTCATCAATAAAATTCAACCGTTCGATAATAGTGAAACATTACAATTTTTATGGGTTTGAAAAACTAATAATGGTGTTGTTTTATATGTCTAACGACATCTCCAATTGTCATTTATCATAAAGTTTTTTTTTAATCTTTTGAATAAGTTTCTTTTATCATTTGAATACGTTTTTATATAGTTTTTTTTTTTTACCTTAGGGTCGACAGAGTCTAACCCGTGTATCCATTGATACCAACAGTTTAAAGAGGCGGAGTCGTGTTCTCGCTAAAGTTGTCTCCCGTCCATCCCTCTTCCATGTTACCTTCTTTGAGTCCAACGCCTAACGGGTTGAAGAACCCGCCAAGATACCCATTTTCCAATACCAGTAGGTGGGGTGGTGTATAGGCCGGTGCTATTTAAATTTTTGACAAATTATTTGTTTTTGTTAAATTATATAAAATTTTATGAGAAGAAACAATAATCCGGATATAAAATATTGCATAATATTCAACTATTTCTTGGATATATAAAATTAGGGTTTAAAACCATAATAAGTTAAAACAAATATTTGTAATACCAGTCGAACAAACATATACATCTAAATATGATATCTTTTAAAAAAAAGGATAATAAAAAATGCGCCATAAAATTAGTTGTAATATATAAGAAAATGATATAATTTTCCAATTTTTTATCAACTAAAATATCAAAATGGCAACTAATAACATAAAATTTACTCATTAAGTCATTGAAGTTTCAATTACATCCAAACCAAATGACAAACAAACTTTTTTTTGGTTCTATTATAACATTGACACTGGTGATAGCTGGTTACCAACCCACATGGAGTCCACGTCATTTCTTGTGTCCACGTAATCGGTGATATAATAAAATCGAAAATAAAAGTTTATTGGTCAATTTGGTACAATTATATAAGTTTAGCGACTTAAAAAGCAAATAAAATGTTATTGGTTGTCAGTTTATGACATTTTATAGAAAATATTTAAAAAAAATTAAACACCATTTACATATCTAATATCTTTGGTTTTGCCTCAACTTACTTTCTTTAAAAATATTTAGACCAACAATAAAACTTAACAATTTGTATGTAGTGGATTGTTTGGAAAAAGAAATAATGTAATAAACAAAATAATTTTTAATATCTCTGAATATATAATTCTTAAATTGTTAAGTTTTAGAAATAGTTATATGGGTTTAACAATGAAGTTAGAAAAAAATGAAAATTTTTCATTGAAAAAGATCTTAATTGTCTTATGGCTGGTGTGTATATTTTTAAGACAAGTAAGTTGAAGCGAAATCGAAGATTTTAGATATGTGTAAATGGTGTTTAAAAGTTTTTTTAATATTTTCTATGAAAATGTCATAAAATGGCAACCAATAACATTTTATTAGTTTTTTAAGTCACTAAACTAATATAATTGTATCCAATTGACCAACAAACTTTTTTGTTCGATTCCATTATATCATTGATTACATAGACACAACCGGTGACGTGGACTCCATATGGGTTGGTAACCGGTTATCATCGGTATCAATGGTATAATAGAACCAAAAAAATGTTGATCAATTGGGTGCAATTAAAACTCAAATGACCTAATGGGTAAATTTTTTGTTATTGGTTGCCATTTTGGATCATTTTCCCTTTTTATTAAGGGTTATTTGCATAAAAACCCTACAAAGTTTCACTTTGGTTCTTAATTGGCCACCCAACATTATTTTGACCCTCTTAGGACATTTAACTTAGATTTGATAATTGTATTAAGCCATTTAGTTAAATTTCAAACAGTGTATCCGTCCAATGAGCTGATGTGGACTCCACTTAGACTAACAATGTTGATGTGGACCTCTCATTGACAGAAATCCTCTCTTCACTGGGCTGACATACCCTGGTCTTTAAGTTTTTCCCAAATTGTCCTCGACGATTTCTGAATAATAAAGTTGATGTAGGTTTTCATGTCGATTCCAACCAGTCCACCGACTGTAACTCTCATGGTGTTGGTGTGGTTGGTTCATTCTACCACTTATCTTACTTTGGTGTTGGTTTTCCAGTCTTCATCTCTGGTGAATGGGATGTTGAGTTTTTGACCATTCCATTTTACGCGAAGAACGTCGACAGAGTCGTCCCATTATTGTACTTTCTTGGCTGAGAGGACGGAAGTGTCGGTTTCGAACATGATGGAGATCAACTGGACCCATGTTTAGTCATGTTTCCAGCCATTTAGGTGGTTTCCGATGAAATGGACATTGATTTGGAGGTTGGTGTCGGAGATAAGAGTGAAATCACATCCTTTTCCACCATGAAAGTAGAACATCACTCCATCGCCTCCGATGAACCTTGGATCATAGCATAGAGAGCCATATTCGTTACATTGGGGTTTCCTCCTTACGAAAAATGATATTTAATTACAAATTTGTCAGATCAGGTTATTCAAAAGAAACATTTTGTTGAACATGTGGCTACAATTTCAAGTTGCTTCACACTTGCGTTAGGCTTCCTCTCTCGGCACTCGGCCGAAAAAGTAAGTGTGTCGTTACAAGTCTTTGATTTACATAACACCCGTTCATGTTCTTTTCTGGTTCTAGAGTCAATATATCATAGTTAGTGGCATCGTCGTTAACTGGAGAAGGCTTTGGTTGCTCCACCTTGGGGGTCGATGCTCATTTTAGTATTTAGGGGCGGGTGTCGGTGTCATCGGAGTCTTCTTAGTGTCTTCATGTGTGTTTTCTTCATCAGCTCCAATATGCAATCATGGTTGCTCCGATGGAGAAATATATGAGTAGGAAAGCCACTAAAATGAATTACTTCCCCATGTGTGAAACGCCCTGTGTAGTCTTCCTGCCTAGTTTTTGTGGTGTTATCTTTCTTTGGAGACGAAAAATGATGATTGAGATGTTCAAACGATATGTGTAAGCTTCTAATTTTGACTATTTGATCGTCAAATTAGCTCCATGTTTTATCGCTTTGTTTGCTTCTTATTAAAAGATGGCATATCTCATTTAACTTGATGGATCCATTTGGATTTAATGACATGGAAGGAATAAGTGGGGAAATCCTCCACATCAACTAGATAACATTCTAAAACATTTGGAATTTAAAAGAATCCCCTAATAAAACTATATTATTTAAGTTAGATTACCTTAGAATGTCCAAAAAAAACGTTAAATGAACGATTAAAGACAAAAGTGAAACTTCGTAGGGTTTTCATGCAAATAACATTTTTACTAAACAACCATCATGTTTGAAATAGAGATTTGGAATTTCAAATATATATAATATGTAATCCTATTTCATTTGTATCTAATACTTGAAAGAAAAAAATCTCTCGATTTTAGCTAAATAACATATTTTAATGCATTGTATTGGAATATAATTCAATTTACATAGGTTACTTTTTTATTTTTAAAGATTCTATTTGTGTTGTAGCATTTTGGAGTCTGAAATATCTCATTCTAAAAATGTTCTTTGCGTTTCGAATTTTAAAATGTTACTCTTTAACATTTGAAATAGAAAATAACATGATATATGTTACTCCATTTGTTATATTTCATGGGGATAACCTATAAAACCATTTTTTTTGTCGGATATCTCTTAGTATGTAACGTCCCGAAAACAGTAATAAAAATTTTCATTTTTAAGTCTATCAAATCATTCATTAATTGTTCAAAATCAACATGAGGGGAGGATGTTGTGTCATCATGTCGGGCTCTTCCCTTTCGAACCGAAAGTACCTGAAACCATACACATAATCTGTAAGCACGAAACTTAGTGAGTTCCTCAAAATATCACATACAAAAACATACAAGTGTCATGGGCTATGTGACATCCCCATTTTCACGGCCAGAAAAGACCGATTTTGTTTATGCTTTATAAAAAAATCAGAGTACCTCTTTTAATAAAAATGTTGCGGAATTTGTTCCCAGAAAAACATGATAAATACGTTATCAAAGCATTTCCGAAGAAATGTATTTTTATCTATTTCAAAACATTTGGG